AAACAGTTTCGATTGGTCTCGCTTGGATTTCAAGCCATCCCACCAAGAATACTCATATCGAAACTGACAGCCAATCAACGTGCTGACTGATAAGGGAAGCCATAATTAGTGCGATTTGTTAACGTGTCGGCTGACGGAATCGAAGGAAAACACCGTCGTCGTCGTCGTCGTCGTTGTCGTCGACGTCGTCGTCGTCGTTGTCGTCATCTTCATCGTCGTCGTCGATCATTAGTCTTACTGCTACTAAATTCTCGCTCGATCGATCGATCGGCTTGTGCTCGTTGGATCACTTTCTTTCTTCTGCGTACATTTTTTTTTTTTTATTTTTTATTTTTTTACCTTAATTATATATATATATATATATATATATATTTCTTTCTATGAACCGAAAAAGATCGAGAGCTCGCGTGTGGTGTGAAAAAGAAATAGATATAAATAAATATAAAACAAAAATTAATCAAACAACGCTAAAAAGTGAATGAAGGGAGTGCGTGGACAAGAAAAGGTGTGAGTTTATTTACCTTGTTGTAATAGAAGAATGATTGAATAAAGTACCATTGATTATTTATTATTTGACGGAATGAAATGAAGTAGATGTTATTATATATATATTTTTATTCTTTTTTTTTTTTGTTTCTTTTTTTAAAAATTCTCTTAAATTTTATTTTCAATCACGAGGTGAGAACTATTTTTTTTACCTTCTATTTCGTGGTAAAAGTGATATGTGTACAAAATCAAAGTTTATACGAAATTAATAATGATATAACGGGTGTGTACAGGAACTAGGATCGTATATAAAAGGTGTACTTTTTATGTTTTTTAAGAAAAAAAGTGAAGGAGAAGAAAGCAAGTAATTAAATCGTTTCATGAAATCGACATGAATTGAAATATTTAAAGAAAAAAAAGAAAAAAGAAAATTTTTTAATTATCTCCAGAGAAAGAGAGAAAGAGAGAGAAAAGAATATCGTAAGACTTCATTAATAATACTGTTTTTCTTAGACTTTATCGTTCGTCAGCAATGTTAAAGACATCGAGAGCTTCGAGACTCAAGCTCGTTACGAACGATAAACGTTCTTAAAAAAGAGCACGAGAGGAATGAGAAAAAGAGAAAGAGAGAGAGAGAGAGAGAAAGAGAGAGAGAGAGAGAGAGAGAGAGAGAGAGAGAGAGAGAAGGAAAGATTAGCTTTCCAAGGTCTTAGATCTTCAAAATTTCCAACCACTTCTACCCCTTGCCATCCCTCTCCCTCCCCACCAGTGCTCCTTTTATTTTTGTTATTTCGTTTTTTTTTTTTTTTTTTTTATTATCCTGATAAGCAATTTAATTTTGAATATCTTAAAAAATCATCGTTCAAAAAATAATCGTTTATTAATCAAATAATTCTATAAATAACATCATCATCATCATTATTATTAATTTTTTATTATTATTATTATTATTATTATTATTATTATTATTATTATTATTATTATTATTATTATTATTATCATTATGAAAAAAGAAAAAAAAAGAAAGAAAAGAATCGTATAAATATCAAAAAACTTTATTCTCTCTTTTAATGAAGATAAAAATAAAATTTCGATAAACTCAGCGAATCATAATAATTCTTGTTTGATAGATCTTACAAAATCATCCTTTAAAAGTGATCGTTGATTAATAAAATAATTTTATAAATAAATTCGTTATTATTATTATGAAATATTATTATTATTATTATTATTATTATTATTATTATTATTATTATTATTATTATTATTATTATTATTATTATTATGAAAGAAATTGTGTAACCATGACAGATTTTATTCTGTCGATAATATTGATAAAAATACATTTAGATAAATTTCGGAAAAACATTATGATCGATTCCCTGTTCGAAGATGTTAAAAAATCATTTCCAAAAAAAATAAAATGATTGTTTATTAAAATTTCTTCTCGAAGAAAGAAAAAAAAAATAAAAAAAGAAGAAAGGAAAACAAAATCATACAGACAACTCGTTATTGTTATTTAATGTAACAATAATATTGTATTAATCTTAATGCGAGTGCAAAAAAGGAGGATATTTAAAAAATAATCTAAAAAGAGATAATATTATCTGATGATCGTGCGAGTCGTCGATTTAAAAAGAAAGAAATGAAACGAAGGAATTAAATATAAATGACGGGAAATGTTAGTCCAAAAATTCCTGGAGTTGATGCTTTTTTCTTTTCTTTTCTTTTTTTTTTTTTTCCAAAACTTTTCAAGCTTGATCTTAAATGAGGAGGAAGGAAAAGAAAAAATAAAAAAGAGAGAGAAGTCTGATCGGATTTTCTTCAAATTAGTTTTTCATATGGGTTCGCCATAATAATATCTTGCAGATCATGATAGTTGGAATGAAAATTTATAGGCTGATTATCCGAACCAGAACTTATAATTATTACGACGTATTTCTTTTTCAATATAGAATGCTAATTAAGTTTCGTGTGACGTATCACATATATATATATATATATACATTTGCATGCACGAGTATTACACGCGGACGCACAAATATACGTAATCAACTATTATATATCGGAATAAAACGATTGATGAATATGGAAGGAACGCGTTTGCAATGTAAATCTGAAATATTTGTACGAGTTAAAAATGATTTTATTAGACTTTTCGATACTTTTCATGTATTTTTTTTTTTCTTTCTTTCTTTCTTTCTTTCTTTATTTATTTATTTCTTTATTTTTTTTATTCTTTAATTGTTTCTATTTTTTTTTTTTCCTTATTTTTCTTCTTTCCTTTTTTTTTCTTTATAATTATACGAAATGTTTCTTACGTTTTACTGATACTTTTGTTTTTCTCCCTAATTTTTTCTATAAATCCAATACGTTCGATTTTTTATTTAATATTTTTTCCTTCCTCCCCCGACCCTTCATTATTTCTTCGCGAATATGATCTGTCTATTTATATATATCTACGTCGACGAGATACTGCGAAAAAAAAGAAAGGAAAGGGTGGGATGTGGAAAGAAAAAAAAAAAAAAAAAAAAAAAAAAGAAACAATCGAATAGGAAAAATGTGTCGAGAAATTTAGAAACGCGTTTTAGAACTCTCGCCACTATACGGCTCGCTAAAAACATCTGTTTTCAAAGAGAACCATCTATTTTAAAACCTAAGCCACACGTGGGAACGAGTTTTTGTCGAAATGGGACAATTTTTCTTTTTCTTCGTCTTTCATTTTTTTTTTATATTGCTTTTCTTTTTCTATTAGTCAGACTTCTCTCTCTCTCTCTCTCTCTCCTTGTTTTTTTTTCTCTGACTTTGTTTGTCTGTCTCTTTATCTTTCTATCTTTATTTTTCTCTCTCGTTTTCACTTGTACGATTGCTATATTCTAAACGCGAATCTCTCTCTCTCTCTCCTCTCTCTCTCTCTCTCTCTCTCTCTCTCTCTCTCTCTCTCTCTCTCTTTCTCTCTCTTTCTCTGTCTGTCTGTCTGTCTCTCTTTAACTTGCATGATGGCCAAATTCTAAACGCGAATTTTTAGACTTTCTTTTACCTCTGCTTTGCACTTCAGTTTCTTTCTTTCTTTTTACACACACACACACACACACACACTCGATCTTTACTTATCGAGCGTTAATTCGGATAAATAAATCGGATCGATCCAGCTGTAATCGTATTTCCATTTCTTTCTTCCTTTTTTTTTTGTTTTTTCTTTTTTTCTATGTTTACAAACTACGCATTCAGGTTTAATAAATAATACAAACATAAATGTATAAAAATGAAACTTATATGATACATATGTAATCTATGTAAGCCCGTTTCTCCTAAAGTGATGCAATCCACCATTTTGATTTTCGATAATAGAATCCTCTTCTTTTTTTTTTTTTTTTTTTTTTCCTTTTTTTCGTGCCAAAAATATTAATCAAGGATCTACGTTGGTATTAACGACAAAAAGAAAAAAAAAAAAAAAAAAGAAAAGTTTTGAAAACTTTCAAAGGACTTTTAAAAATCGTCTCGAAGATTAATTATTTACTTATTAATTTTAATTAAAGCTAACTCGTTCTTCTTTTCTTTTTTCTTTCTACACTTTTTTTTCTCTCTCGGCCTCCTTCACATCTTCTTTATTTAATTTATTTCATTTATTTATACTATCTCGTTAAGCATATCATTTACAAAAGAAATATTCCTCGATGTAGTCACCCTTAAGCGACCTCCCATTGCATTTATCGTTATATTGTATACATATACATATATACATATATATATATATATCCTCTTTACAATGAAGTCCTCGAACGATTTATCTGGGTGCACGATCTATACACGAGGCATTATGACAAAGGCGGTAACAGGATCAAGAGATCGAAGATCACAGGCAGCCCAGGCATTGTTGGCACTCGTGCCAACCCGTGTCGGCCGTTCCGTTGTGTTTAATCGTGTTAACAAGGAGGACTCTGGGGACAAGTCTCTCTCTCTCTCTCTCTCTCTCTCTCTCTCTCTCTCTCTCTCTCTCTCTCTCTCTCTCTCTCTCTCTCTCTCTCTCTCTCTCTCTCTCTCTCTCTACATATATTTATATATATATAATATATACATATATATAATATGTGTGCATATATGCATATATATATGTTAAGGCTTTTACTATTCTCCGGATTTACGGATATCAAAGTTTTGAGTATCCGAGTACTCGGGAGCAAAAATTTATATTAAAGTATTCGAATATCCGAATAAATTTTTTTCGACGACCGATTAAAACCAACGAATCAGATATTTTATACAACAAATGATTATCAATGATACTGTCTTCTTGTATTTTTAATGAAATTTGTAAAGGGAAAAAGAAAAAAAAAATGGGGTAAAAAAGAAACCATTTTAAATTCCATTTATACCAGGGATGAGGAGATCCAATTGATTTTATCAATTAAATATCTTTATGGACGAATATATGATCGCAAATATTATTAATAATATAGATTTGAAAGAACATCGTAATGTAGTAATGTATATGTAATTTTATAATGTTTCAGAATGGTGTTGGTTGTAAACGGGGTCCTTCAGGAAGATGTCCCGACGGACAGTAGGTCCTTGTACGTGTCACATCCCGTATATCGTGAGACCGCCGCGCAACTTCACTCAATGCCGGCTAAATTAGTAGGCCCAGTTGGCCTTTTGTATGTCCAACAACGAGAAATGGCCGCCACATTGCCACACGATAGTTAGTATACAAATATTTTTCATTCTATCAATATTTTTTAATTTCCCATTCTGATCTCATTTAAAGTCTCATAATAATTATATATATATATATATATATATATTTAATTTAATTTAAGTATATACAAATTATTTCACAATATTTGATATTAGTCATAAAGAAAAAAAAAATTTAATTGTACATTTCACATTTTATATGAGAAATAAATTCGAATACGTAGAAATTAATTATAATCGTGTTTAATAATAATAATAATAATAATAATAATAATAATATGTCGATTAATGGATCAATTTGTTTTCAACTTAAGATTTCTTCGAAAAGAACGTCTTTAATGTTTGTTACTCGTATCTCTGCTAGTGCTGCTCTCTTGTTTAAACATGAATGATTTAGAGATTAGAAGAAGAAGGAAAAAAAAAAGAAAAAAAGAAAGACTTAGAAACTTGATCTAATACACTCTCAACCATTCATTTCTTTCGAAAGATATCGATATAAAAGAGACTAATATAATACTATATTGCCGGACTTTTTGCGATATCGTCCATATAATTATGACGCAACTTGCTTTTGTCAAAAAAATTGAATTAGTTAACAACATAATGATTCATTTCTAAATGACGAAACGATGACGGCAAATATATTAAATGCAATCGATAATAATTATAAATATTTGATATCGATAGCTCTCTAAGTGATCCAAAGTGATTTATTAAAAAAAAAAAATGAAAAGAAAGAAATTAAAAAACCATTACTCCTTTTCGAGACTCTTTTGCAAGTTGATTATTTTTTTTTTCCAGATTATAAAATTATAATGTTAACCTGTAATATACTACTAAACCTAACTAAAAGCGTAAAAGATTACAAAAAAAAGATCAATTAATTTTTAAAATCATTTAAGTACTTTTGACTATCGTTCTATATAATATCTTCCGCTCTCTCTCTCTCTTTCTCTCTCTCTCTCTCTCTCTCTCTCTCTCTCTCTCTCTCTCTCTCTCTCTCTCTCTATCTATCTATCTATCTATCTGTCTGTCTGTCTGTCTGTCTGTCTCTTTCTCTTTTTTTTTTTTTCAAAGCGCAAGTAGCGTGAGAAAATAGGCTTACCACGACTTATATATACTCGTCGAAGAGCCACTTTGGAATTCACCGTACTAAGTGCTCTCCTCTTCTTTTCCTTTCGCAGAGAACGTGAGCATCCTCGGCTCGGACGACATGACTACGTGCATAATCGTCGTCGTGAGGCATTCCGGTAGGTATACATTATATATTTATATATATATATATATTTCTTTTTATGTAAATACCATAGAAAGACAAGAACGACATGTAAAAGTACTTACATATCTACCTTATATCCCGGCCAAATGAAAAATTGGAAAACGTGAAAGAAATTTAAAAGAAAAAAAAAGAAGAAAAAAGATAGAAAAGGAAAATTGAAAAGAAAAGAAACAAAAAAATTATATTAAAATCTTTGTAAATAATATTTACTCGTTAAATTCTCTCCCCTTTAAAAAAAAAAAAAAAAAAAAAAAAAAAAAAAAAGAAATTCTATTTATCAAAGATCGTCAAAATGACATGAATGAAAAGTATAACAGATAGATTACGATTTACTCGATCTTCTAAAAGTTTACAAATCTTCGAAATTCTCTAATTATGATATTGTAAAATTTGTAGGATCGGGTGCAGCAGCCTTGGCACACCTGGACGGTGCAGGTACAGAAGATGCCGCAGCCGCGATGGTTCAAAGGGTGACAGAATTAGCTATTGGCTTTCCGGAAGGTCGTTTAGAGCTTCAATTAGTCGGCGGTTATTCCGATCCAAGAAATTATTCCGAGGAATTGTTTTATAATATTCTCTGTAAGTTTCTTTTTCAATGCTATTTAATCGTTCGATTAGATAAAAGAAGAAAAAAAAAAGAAGGAAATCTAAATAAATCTACATTTTTTTTATTCAAAAGAAAAATACAGGTGGGGTCGGAGATGGGGATAAAAAAAGTTTTTAGGCGATTTTAAAATTAAATATCTTTTTTTTTTTTTCGAAGCCTTTTCAGACCTTACAATTTTACAGATTGACCTTATGATTTTATCATCTGAAAAGGAAAAAGAAAAGGGAAATTATTAGCCCGAGAAAGGATCAATTGATTTTGTAATATCACCCCCTAAGGAACTTTTGGCCCATTTAAAAACCTTCGACTAAAATTACTCAGCTATCCATTCATTTATCACCACCCCACCATCCTGTATAAGATAATAAATCTAAAAATGTAATACATGTAGATTTATATAGATTATATATCTTTTGTATGTTTGTTTGTTTGTTGTTCATTCGTTCGTCGTTCGTTCAATTGCTCGTTATATATTTTTATATAAATTATATTCTCTCTTTCTTTCTCTTTCTTTCTCTATTTCTTTCTTTCTCTCTCTCTCTCTTTCTTTCTCCTTTTTTAAAGCTGCCTTTCACAAACAACCCGTCGAAATCGACCTAACGTTGTGCTGTGTCGGTGAATTGAATACAACCGTAAGAGCTGGCATCCATTGGCCTGTGATCTATGGTATCGGATTGAACGTGAAGACCGGCGAGATCTTCCCTGCGACCTTCCCTGACAAGGGCCCCGATCAGCCGCTCAGGTGTGCCAGACAGTTAACCGGAGGTCAACAGGTGCATGTGCGCTGTTATCTAAAGTGAAAGAGGAAGAAGAAAGTAGACACGCCGCATCATATATATATATACATATACATTGTATTATATATATATATGTGCGTGTATGTGTGTGTGTATGTATATGCGTACACGTTGCACGCATTAAGAGTCTTAACAGGCAATTTCGTTTAATATGGAAAACATTTTTAGGAGATTAGGTCGTTGATATTGCTCGCGGCATGAGTATACATAATGTGTATACTCGACGTTTTTAATCCAATAAAATTATTTTTTAATCGAATCGGTAAATGCTTCGATCTAATTATAACAGTTGAAAATGTCATATAATTTCGTTGGAAATTTTTAGGTACTCGACGTTTACGACTGCACACTGGGATTACTTAGAATCGGCCCATTTAATTATGATCCCTTAAGAGGTGTCGACCTCTGGCTAGCTCAATCCGATCAGTTCATCCTTCAACATCTATCGACGTCGCCGGAAGTCGAACTTCCTCATTTCGTGTCACAGGTGAATTATTTATTTGTTTGTTTATTTATTTCTTTTATCGATGAACTATATATTTTGAACGAAACAATACTCGATGATCCACTCTGTAGATAAATTCTATTTGATGTGTTTACTTTGATAAAGATATCTTTTTTTTTTTCTTCTTTTTATTGATCTTCAATCAATTAATCATTTCTTTTTTCTACATCTCTTTAACATTGTTAATAAGAAACGCAAAAGTGGATCTCTTGTACTTAAATTTAATATTAATATTTCTTTTATTATTATTACTGTTATTATTATTATTATTTATTTATTTATTTATTTATTTATTTATTTATTTATTTATTTTTCTTTTCCTCTTCTTTTTTTTTTTTTTTAGGTACGAGCAACGCTTAAATATATCCAGGACAATCAATTTCCGGCGGTTACCGTCTTTCGAGATAATAGGCCTCATTATTATCGTCGGGACGAAGCAACTGGAGTCTGGCAACCGATACGATACTAATTATTGCACTTCGAATTACATTAACATGTATATGTATGTGCGCGCCAACTTTTTCGTCCTTTCTTGAGGGAGCATGAAATCAATTAATTAATTAATTAATTAATGCTCGCGAAGATTCGTCACTCCTTTTTTTTTTCTTTTCTTTTCTTTTCTTTTCTTTTTTTCTGTTTTTTTTTCAACCTCGACGAGAAGAAGAAAAAGAAAAAGAAGAGGAAGAAGAAATCAATTTTCTATCAATCGATAATTGCGAACTATATAAAAAAGGAAAGAAATATGGCGGACTAAAAGGAGGGAAAAAAGAAAAGAGAAAATAATTAAATCAACGTGATGTTCTTCTCGCGTTGAGATTCGAAATAAATAATTAATCCTAAGTGCGAGAGGGGAGAGAGAGAAAGAGAGAAAGAGGAGAGACGGACGTCGTCGTCGTCTTCGTCGTTGTCGTCTTCATCTTCGTTTTCCTGAAGATTTATGCCGCGTGAATCACGAACATGAATTACGCTTTCGTGGAACCACGTTGGACTCGTGTTTATCGTTAAGATTGCCTGTGATGTCGAATGATTCAATCATCAAAGGAAAATCAAACCGGTTTGATTTTCACAGATATGACGAATGGAATGGCCGCCAAGCGTAAAATAGAATGTTCTACGTATATAATAATGGATGATAAATACTTAACGTCGATTGCTTTTCGATGTCGTTAATTAAAATATATATTTTAAAAATTTCATACGAACAAATTTCACGTACGCTTCTTTTTATTAAATAATAAATAACCATAAGATAGATAGAGATAGAGAGAGAGAGAGAGAGAGAGAGAGAGAGAGAGAGAGAGAGAGAGAGAAAGAGAGAGAAAGAGCTGAAGTGAATGAGAAAGCGTAATTATTCAACGTTCGCGGTTCACGCTACTTGAGAACGGGACATTAAGTTTTGATTACGTTTGATCATTGGCGGATTTTTTTAACCTTCGAGGAATCCACGGAGACAAATTACAAATTCTTGAGGAGGAGGAATAGAGGGAAAATGGGACGCCCGCCTCCCTTTTCCCTAACATTATAAAATAAATCAATTATTATGCGCACAATATAACATTACGTATATATACTTTCTTGCATCGATCGTTCATGAAAATTGAGAAATAAACACTGTGCAATAAAATTCGATCATAATCTCATTAATAATAAAAATTAAAAATTATATATCTATCTGCCGTCGAAAGATATTAAATTCATTTTGTTTATATAATTTGGAATTTTTTTTATACTTTGTCGTATCGTCCCGTGTCGTGTCGTGTCGTGTCGTGTCGTGTCCTGTCGGGGTCTTATATCTTATAGGGCCCAAAGCAGCCGCCTCCGCCATTTCTATGCATAAATCCGCCATTGTTATCGTCTTTCGTTTCATTACTTTTGGACATCGTTTCTCTCGTCGCTTTTGTAAATCAATAAATAAATATTATTATAGCGTACACATACACGTACACACAGACACACACACACACACACACACACGTGCAGTTTGAACGAACGATCGATCATGTTCGATCGTCGATCACGTTGATGATATATAATTAAAAAGCTTAGAAACTCGTGTTCTCTTGCCATTTTTATTTTTACAAGTTAAGAGAGGGAAAAGAAACAGAGACAGAGAGAGAAAGAGAGAGAGAGAGAGAGAAAGGGACGGAAAAAAAATAAAAAACGTTTGTGAAAGGAAAAAGAACTTTTTTTCCGGGTTTGTTTTGTTCTTTTTTTCTATAATTTTTTTATTTCCTTTTTTATTTTTAATTTTTTTTTTTTCCTTTTTTTCTTTTTCTTAATAATCTCAAGAAATTCACACAACGAATATTTCAACGTGTACTTGCCATAAACGAAAAAAGAAAGAAAGTTTAGCGTTAGACGAATAGTTTTAAGAGAATTTTTTAGAGAGAGAGAGAGAGAGAGAGAGAGAGAGAGAGAGAGAGAGAGAGAATATCAATAAAAAAAAAGGAAGAAAGAAAGAAAGAAAAAGGAAAATATAATAAAAGGAGAAAAAAAAGAAGACAAGAGGACAGATAAAAAGAATTATGAAAAAGAAAAATTACCACGCTAATTGACGCACACAAGAATATAATGATGTGTACATAATTTCTTTTTTTTTTTCTTCTTTTTTTTTTAAGACACGCAACATTCACACACACATATACACATACAAATTCGCGATTTTGAAAATAAATAATTCTTTTATGATAAGGGAACAAACAAACTCTGCCAAGCTTATCGAAATCGCTCTTTTTTCTTGTTATTTCTCTCCATTTTTATTATTATTATTATTATTATTATTATTATTATTATTATTATTATTATTATTATTATTATTATTATTATTATTATTATTAATATTGTTATTATTATTATTATTATTATTATTATTATTATTATTATTATTATTATTATTATTATTATTATTGTTTTAAAGGTAAATAAAATCTTTCTCGCGATAAAGTAGATCCTATTGTTACCAATCTCGTCGTTTAAAATGTTCTAATATTATGGATATTAAATTTTCTTTATCGATAAACGTCGCAAACGCTTACAATCAGTGTCTTATTTATTTACACTCATATGACGAAATGTTTAACAGAAAAAACGTGGTGTTTTTTCTTCTTTTTTGTAGATAAAAAAGAAAACACGAAGAAAAAGAACAAAGAGAGAGAGAGAGAGAGAGAGAGAAAAGTGAATGTTTTTCTTTTGATCGAGGGTCGAAGAAAAAAAGAAAAAAATACGTACATACATACACACATACATACATACACATATACATACATATATCGTCCAGTGTGCATTTTATATTTTACTTATGATGTTCCGAAGTTTACGTGGTGTGTTCAAAATGGTGGCCTTAGCGTTAATGCAATAACGAAAAGTTCTTATAATAAATGATTTATATCGATTTTCTATTTTCTGCAATGTAATATCGAAGCACATTAATGCCATTACAGTAATACGTTTTAATCTCTTATAATCCTCTAAATTCCTCGTCGTATCTCGATTGTATATGATAAATTACTTTTTCTTTCTTTTTTTTTTTTTTTTTTTCGTTTTTTTTACGCGATAAAAGTAGAGAAATCATTAATCGTGTGTGCGTTAGTCCTTCGAGTAAAAACAAACTAGCTATTTCACAATTTTTCTTCATTACCAATTCTATTCTTCTCTGAAGAAATTATTTATCTATCTATCTATCTATCTATCTATCTATCTATTTGTTCTTCTTTACGTTATTATATGAAATGACAAAACTGGACACCTTACGTATCAAAAACACATACGTTATTGGATATATTTAATAGTATATCTTCTATAAATGACATGGTAAACAATTTAACGAAGAAATTCAGCAGACTTATGTCCTGCGAATATTCCTCGTATATATATATAATAGTACGATAATACGACTCTGTTATATATATATGTTAGAAGAGGAGATAAATTTAAGGATATTAGAAAATATTCATTGAGTATATCTTGAGATCAGAGAGAACGGAACAAATAACGTTATTGTAAGCGGTTGAATTTGTCATTTTATTCTCTATTAAAATATAGAGAGAAAAGAAAAAAAAATATATATATATATATAGTTCTATTCGAAAAAAGAAAGAAAGAAAAAAAAAAAGAAAAAAAAACGAAACTAACATAAGATTGGACGATCTTTTAAAATTTCGTAGAAAAGAAAAAAAGGGAAGAGGGAAGGAAGAAACGAGAAAAGAAGTGATCTTGAGAACATTTTTTTTTTTTTTTTTTTTTTCTATCGTTACATGTATCCCCTTTAGAATAGTATATATTTTTCCTACAAAGTTTTTTCATACGATTATAAATAACGAAGATAAATATTTAGATATTCCTAAATAGTAGAATAAATATAATATTGAATATAATTGTTCTTTGTAATTATAACAATGAAATAATTGTTTACACAAGTGCAACTTGTTTATACAGTTAAGTATATTTCAAGCGCTTGTTGTAAAACACATTTTCGCACGCTTTTAATTTCAATTGCAATTGAATCATTGAGGATATATATATATATTTACAATTACCTTTCAAAAAGCAAAACGTATTTTACGTTTTGTATATGGTCGATTAAAAAAAAAAAAAAAAAAAAAAAAAAAAAATACATAAAGAAAAAAAATTTCATATCAAAGTCACGGCGGAGCGCAATTATTGATTATAATAATTTTTGCGAAATATCATTTTAAATCGAATTAGATGAATTTGTATTAAATCTTGTTTCTCGACTTCAAGCTCGTTAACATATTTTGTGAATAAACATCATATATTGATACATATTGGATATTTAAAACATTAATACTTGTATTACATATAAGGAATGTATAGTTCGCGATTGAATCTAAGGATATTTAATTATTGAATTAATATGTTTATAATAAGAATCAATTTTTACAAAAATACTTTTCTTATGATAATATTAATGCATGATATTCCAAGATTTTCCAGCTTCCTTAATATATTTTCTAAATAGAAATAAATATGTCGCTTGAATTTGGACCATATAAAGTTTCGTTAAAATGTTTTTTAGGAGTAGAGTTGTAACAATGAAGAGGAAAAGAAAAAAAAAATAATGAGACAAAATTTGTCTCCTGACTAATATGATGCAAAATAAAAATCATTATAATCGATTATTATCGTCAGTCTATTTCGAAGTGTGTCGATTAAGATTATGTGACGTCATAGTTTCGTTCGATATGTTTCGTAAAAGAATCGCAGAGTGGCGCTAGTGTCTATCGTATACAAAGATGGCTGCCATCCCCACGAGGCATCATTTAAAACGAGCTCGTGTTTATTGATGTATCTCGATCGGTATAAACATTGAGGTTAGAAAAATGGTACTAAGTAAAATATTTGTACGAAATCGTGCACTTGGTTACGTTAGTAATCATATACCCGTGGTAACTAGATATATTCAAAGAAGAAAAGAAAATCTTTTGGTTACTTGCGTTGGAAAAGAATTTCATACTTATGGATGTGCACATTTTACTCTTCTCAGTGTATCCGGAACTCATCCTGACGAAATAACTTGTTTATCTGCAGACACATATCACATTTATACCGCCGCAAAAAATATTATATATGCATGGAGAAGAGGTACGGAATTAAAACATGTTTACAAAGGTCACGAATATTCTATACATATTATATTACCTTTTGGACCACATTTAATTTCCGTCGATGAGAATAGTAATGTTAAAGTTTGGGATATAAAAACAGAAGAATTAATATTAGAATTGAACTTTTCTAATGAAATATTTCAAATAACTACATTGATACATCCGATTACCTATATGAACAAAGTTTTGTTTGGTAGCCAACAAGGATATTTACAATTGTGGAATTTAAAAACAACAAAGATGATTTATACTTTCAAAGGATGGAATAATACTATTACCGCATTAGAGCAAGCACCTGCGATAGATGTTGTAGCTGTAGGTCTATCCGATGGAAGGATTATGTTACATAATCTTAAATATGACGAAACGATCTTTGAATTGATTCAAGATTGGGGTGCTGTAATATCTATAACATTTCGTACCGATGATCATCCAATTATGGCTACTGGAAGTTTAAATGGACATATTGTATTTTGGAATCTCGAGCAAAGAAAAGTTGAAAGCCAATTGAACAAAGCTCATTTTGATTCTGTAACAGGTTTAAAATATCTACCGAATGAACCATTAATGGTTTCATCCTCGCCTGATAATTCCTTAAAATTATGGATTTTTGACTTGGCCGATGGTGCTGGAAGATTATTGAAAATAAGAGAGGGACATTCATTACCACCTACGATCGTTCGTTTTTATGGCAACAATAGCGATAATATATTAACTGCAGGAGGTGATTCATCGCTTAGAATATTCTCTACTATTACCGAAACATTTAATAAAAGTTTAGGAAGAGCTTCTTTTAATAGAAAAGCTACTAAGAAGAAAGGTAGATCGATAGAAGATCCATTGATAATGCCTCCAATAATAAATCTGTCTTTTGAAAAAACTAGGGAAAAGGAATGGAGCAATATAGTAGCTTCTCATGCTGGTTTAGGCACAGTTACTACATGGTCTTATGATTTATTAAAGATGGATAATCATAAATTATTACCAGAAAGATTTAAAAATAATCGTAATGCTGTAGCAACTTGTTTGTGCCTTACAAAATGTGGTAATTTCGTTGTTATTGGATATAATACTGGTCATGTAGATCGATTTAATGTACAATCAGGTATTCATAGAGCCAGTTATGGCAATGAAAGTGAAGCGCATAAAGGTTCAGTAAAAGGTGTAATAGTAGACGCTTTGAATCAAACCGTTATTACAGCTGGAAGGGATTGCTTTATAAAATTTTGGAACTTTAAATCTAAAAATGGTAAATAAATCATAATAGAATTATTTTTTATCGGTTTATTGTTGTTCCATTTATTATATCATTTTTATTTCAAAATTAAATGTTATATGTAAAATTAAAGATACAGGACCAAGGACTATAATAACGCTACCTGAATCGATAGAATGGTTACGGTATCACAATGAAAGTACTTTCATGGCCGTTGCATTGGAAGATTTCTCAGTGATTTTAATTGATTTAGATACTAAAAAAGTAATGAGACATTTTCACGGACATAAAGGACAATTGACAGATGCATCATTCAGTCCAGATGCAAGATGGTTAATCACATCTTCTATGGATTGTACAATAAGGACTTGGGATATTTTATCTTCACATTTAATAGATGTATTTCAAGTAAGTTTCTATAATATTATTATCGGTCGTAGGCCCGATTATTTTGATTAAATATATTTCATTTATACATAAATATATTTTATAATTGTATAATACATTTAGGTTCCAGATGCGTGTATATCTTTACATTTTTCTCCTACTGGAGAATTTCTTGTCACATCTCATATGTGTAATTTGGGAATATATTTGTGGTCAAATCGTACGATTTATTCTCATGTATCCTTAAAAGCTATAAGGGAAGAGGATGTAATACCTATAATTAATTTTCCTAGTTCTATAGTGGAAGTTAATCGACAAGATGACGATGACGTTATTGAAGATGAATCAGAATATATTTCTCCGGAACAGCTTAATGAAAATCTAATTACGATATCCGCTTTGGCACAATCCAGATGGTTAAATTTGCTTAACATAGATATAGTTAAGAAAAGAAACAAACCTAAGGAGCCACCTAAAGCTCCAGAAAAGGCACCCTTCTTTTTACCAACTATTCCCTCGTTAGATATTAAATTTGATTTTTCAGATTTAAAAGATCCTATGGACGCTGAAAAATTACGATCTCATAAAGATTTTCAAAATTTAACAATATTTGCCAAATTATTATATTCTACTGCATCAAATGAAAATTTTTTAGATGTTATAAATAAATTAAAATCTATGAGCCCAAGTTCCGTTGACTTCGAAATTCAATCTCTTTCCTCGGAAGAAAATAGTACAAAATTATTGTTACTTCAATTTATGAAAGTCTTGTGTTATATGATGGAACGTAAAATTGATTTCGAATTGACGCAAGCATATCTAGCAGTATTTTTAAAATGGCATGGTCAAACAATATCTGAAATTGAGGAATTGAGAGATAACTTAGAAAAAATAGAAGATTTACAATCGAAAAACTGGTTTATACTTAGAGAAAAATTATTCTATAATCTTAGTGTTGTACAGACTATTAAAAAAATGTAATATAAATAAAATTTAAGAAATTTGTAATTTTTTTTTTTTTTTTTTTTTTTTTTTTTTCCTTTGTAAAATTGTTCGAAAAAAATAAACAAAAAAAAAGTCCTTTGTTAAATGTATATAATCATCAAAAATGTAACGCGCAATGTAAATACAAATATACCATGGTATTTGTTATTTTTATTACAGTTCTATAAAATAAAAAGATCATAGAAATATTATATATATATTATTCTTTGTAATTAAGAAAAGGTTGTAAATGTTCTATCATTGTAGATTCAAGTTTCAAATCATTAATGTAATTTTCAAAACCCGTTGTAATTCTGTACAAACTACGTTTACTTGCACTTCTTAATGAATTAAACATCTGTTTGATACATCTATCGCTATTCTGAGATTTTTTCATTAATATATTAGACTTATACAATTTATCTAAAGTAAGCTTTAATGCTAACAGTGCATGAAATATATCCGGTAGATCTTTTTGTACAATTCCATAAGAGTCTTCCTTCAAAGATACAATTGCCAAAGATGATATAGCTTCTGCTGCCCATATTACAGCTTGCGCATTAAATAAAGCGTATTCAATCTTGAGCTCATCTTGTTCGCCAAAAACATAATAAATAAGTGGTTTTGAAAGAAAATAAGAGATCATCAAGTCCCATTTGGTTTTTATATATTTATACGTTAAAGATTTAATTTCAGGAGATTTAGAGACACAGCTTTCATTTGCAGATGGTATTGTGTCTGTTACCAATTTACGCATATTATACGTATATTCACTTTTAAATGCAGACAAATTCGATGAAATTGAAGTTGTAATCGTAGAGGTAGAAGATGCAAATTGTTGTTCCTTCGCTTTTAAAGTAATTGCATTAAGCTCATCGGAAAATTTGTTTATGAAGTTCAGGGACTTTTCAATAATACAATTCCAATTATAAGGATGACCACCAGGTTGACTCAATGTAAATAATATTCTTCTTCTTGTTTCTTGCTTTTCGGCCAAAGTAACAAGATCTAAATATCCCAAATGTTGTATCATAGGTATATTATCCATGGATAAAACATCAGCCAATGTTATCGTTGAAATGTGACTATCAAATATATTATTATTTGGTTGAATTTCTAAAGGTATCCATTCTGTTAGAAATACTTCTAATAATAAAATCGTAGTATTACTTGTAAATATCAAGGTCGATTGATATAGCCACAAATACATTGTTAAGGATACATTTAACAATTGTGGAAAATTATCTAATGGCTTTGTTTCTATTTGTGCGGACGTAATGGACAGTATAAAGTCACGCATATAGGATCCCAATAAATAATATCCAATTATAAAATAGATAACAGGCCACAATGAAATGGACGTTATCGTGGATAGCATGGAATAAATACCTTTTCTAAATTTGGAAAATTTTGTCATTGGTATTATAGAAAATTGAAAATATCGTTGATTGGATAAACTCGTAGTTAGAAAGAAATAAAATCCAGTCCACATTCCGCCAAGTAATAGAAAATAATGTTCTTCTATTAGGCATGATCCGTAAAGTGTATCACAATTATCAATCAATAAATTATGATTACCTTTCTTCAATGACAAATGTAACCATACTAAATTACATCCCATCAAGATACAGAGCAATCCTCTTAATAAATTTTGTCCGGTGAAAATATGTTGAATTTTTAAGAATCTATTCTTTAAGTACGGCTGACGATGTAAATAATTATTGCAATAAATAATTCCTTGTAGAAATGCTACGAATACAAAAAAATGTATTCGTAATTTTAAGGAAATTATAGTCTCCCAAGTATTCTGTAGCCATAATTTAACATTTGTGTTAATATTTGTAATTAATATCAATAAGCACAAAAGGAAGATTTGTAGTGTGATGTTCAATGTAATAGCTATGAACATTCGTCCTATCAATAATCCTGGATAATTTTTTCTATTACGTTCTGACATTTTCTAAATTCACTAATTCAACTTATCTTTAATAAACACTTTTACATCTAATAAACATACTCTTAAACGTGACAACGTTTTACTCTTTATACCGGTATAACCTATATATATATATGTGTGTACATATATATATGTTATAATCAGCCAATGATCGTGTGGATATAAGAATGGCGCCATGTCAGTTGTCAATTGCGCGGGAATTATGTTGTCATTATAGACAAATGTTCTGTTATTTGAAATTTTCAAAAATGTAACTTTCTCAAATACGTTATAGAATTTTTTACATTTATAATTTTACCTTTAAAGTTGGTACCATTATATTTGTACATTTTCAAACATTGTACTGTGTGATTTTACAGCATACGCAAAGCCTCTTTCAATTTAAACAAAGACCTTTCAAAACAAGGATTTATCAAATTTAAATATATTATTTTAAGTATGGTCCGAACCAAAGCAGATCGAGTACCTACAAAAGGTAAAGATTTCTTTTTGGTAATAAATAATTATGAATAATAATCATTTACTTTCTGTTTCTTTTTTTCTTTTTTTCTTTTTTTTTTTTTTAGTTCACTTACATTACAAAGCATTTAACTTTATGAAGTAATATACTTTAATTAATCAAAAAATTATGTTAATATGATCATATGATTTTATTTGTTTACTTTATATTTTAGCTGTTGGTGCTAAAGCACCACACAAAGTTGCAAGTACAACAGGCGCAAAAAAAACATCAGGAAATGGCAAAGGTAATAAATATTTGTCAAGTTTCCTTTGAAAGATATTACTTCTATTATAATATCATTTTATTTTTAGGAAAAAGTTATTCTGGTGGAAATCCTTATCATCCAAGAGAAACTCCAGAGTGGCAAAAACCAATCACAAATTTTATGAATCAAAATGTTACTAAGGAACGTGATGTCTCATCAAAAGTAAATATAAAATAAATAAGTATATATATATATATATAACACACAGATATTTTTAATATAAATAATTATTTTGGCAGAGTAATGAAAATGAGGAAAATAATACAAATGATACCTCCATTGAGATTGATACTGATCAAAATTAAAGAATTCATTATTGTTATTAAATAATATAGAAAAAATTTTATTACATTTAATTCAAAGATATTTCAGATTTAATTAAAACTTACAATATTTTTAGTCTTAGACAAAAAATTGATAAGGATTTAAGTGATCAAAAAACAAAAGAAAATGACTTAACAATTTAATTTTATGATAAGTATATTTTAATTTTAATTCAGTAATAATCTAAATATGTATAAGCTTTGAATTTATATGTTTAATTATTAATATTTGTATTATATTATGAATAATTTTTAAAGCACTGTGTTAACATTTTATTCATTTTATTTTATTTTATATTACTTTTATTATCCACGTTAACATTTTTTTTTTACATAATCGATTATTATTTTTATGAAGATGAAAATCTAGAATCTTGACAAATAATACTAGTGTATTTTCTATCTTGGAAGTTTTATTCATAGACAAATTACCTATACAATATATGGTGGTGGGGAGGAACATTTTTCCCCCAGTATTTTACCAATAATGATACTCGTAAGCTGGGGGAATGCAGTTTTCACGTAGATATAATGCACGTCATAAATGTGCATAAGTGACCAAAAATTAAAAGCAACATCATTCAATTCAATTTCAATTCTCAACGTGTAAACTCGTATAGATTGTTAATATACATTTGAAATAAGTTTCGGAACACAAGAGTGAAATATATAAGAAAAATTTTATTGTCGTATTCACAGAGTTAATTCGCATCACTTGAGACGATGTTACTGTTCTTGTAGTTTGATACAAAATTAATCTCACCAAAAGTGGATGTAATATCTCGGATAAACAAAGAAAGAAAAAAAAAAAGTAAAGTAAAAAAAATTTATTATCGCGTCGACGAAAACGTAATATATATATATATATATATATATATATATATATATATATATATACATATATATACATATATATGTAGATATATACATATATATATATATACATCATTTTCTTTCCTTTTCGTTTCATTTTAAAAGAAATCACAACGACAATTCAACCGGCTGTGAAGACAATTTTGCAATCATGGCCAGCGTATCTTATCAAATAGCAAATTTATTGGAAAAGGTAAACGTACATTTATTTTAATAAAATCTAACAAAAAATTTGATTTATTTGTAAATTGTTGTTGAAAAATTATGTTTATTGTTGACTTCGTTCGGAAGTTAACCTCACTTTTTTTACCACTTTCTAAAGGAATCCTATTGATTTAAATCAGATTAGATTGCTTTTCTTTTATACAAATATTCATGTATATTATTTGATTTATAAGAATTTTGTGATTTTTATTTTAATGTATTATTGTCATTTCTTTTCTATTATCTTACTTCATAAATATTTTTTTTCTCAGATGACGTCCAGTGATAAAGATTTTAGATTTATGGCAACGAATGATCTGATGAGCGAATTACAAAAGGATAGTATCAAATTGGATGATGATTCCGAACGTAAGGTCGTAAAGATGTTACTTAAATTATTAGAAGACAAAAATGGAGAAGTACAGAATCTTGCTGTGAAATGGTATATTATTTTATTAATCATTTTTTTTTTCTTTTTTTATTTTTTATTTTGAGAAGATATAATATTTGTACGAATCATGAGATTACGGAAGTATTAAAAATTTTAGTTTAGGTCCACTAGTCAATAAAGTAAAGGAATACCAAGTAGAAATTATTGTGGATGCTTTATGTAGTAATATGGTATCCGATAAAGAACAGCTAAGGGATATTTCCAGTATTGGTTTGAAGACTGTTATTTCCGAACTTCCTTTAGGATCCAGTGCACTCGTTGCTAATGTATGTAAGCGCATTACAGGAAGATTAAGTAGTGCTATTGAGAAGGTATGTATTATTTCATATTTATTTATTTATTTATTTATTTTCCTTGAAAAAGGAAGAAAAAAAAGAGAAAAAAAAACCATTATTTATACTATACTCCAAGTTTTACTTCAGCAAGAGGACGTGTCCGTTCAACTGGAGGCTCTTGATATTGTTGCCGATTTGCTTTCCCGATTTGGAGCTTTATTAGTGACATTTCATTCGACTATCTTAACTGCATTACTACCACAGCTTTCCTCCCCACGTCAAGCAGTTCGTAAACGTACCATAGTAGCTTTGAGTCATCTCTTAACGTCGAGCAATAATTATTTATACAACAAACTCTTGGACCATTTACTAGATGGACTTTCAACGCAAACGGCAAAAAATGTTATCAGAACATATATACAGTGTATTGCATCGATTTGGTAAATAGCGTACTTCTATTTATTTATTATATATATAATACAAAAAAAAAGATATTTTATAATTCTTATGAATTCCTTTATCATCATAGTCGTCAAGCGGGACATAGGTTCGGTGAACAAATAGAACGAGTTATGCCATTGATAGTAGGATATAGTAACGAGGACGATGATGAACTTAGAGAATATTGTTTACAGGCATTTGAAGCTTTTGTATATAGATGCCCTAAAGAAATAACACCACATATTAATCAGGTATTTAAGACAAGGTGATAATTATTTTTTTTTTTTTCTTATCGTTATACTAAAAAATTTCATATTACTTTCGTTTTTTAGATCATAAAAATTTGTTTAGTATATATTACATATGATCCAAATTACAATTACGATGACGATATGAACGATCTCTCTGACGGGGAAGGAGTTGTTATGGAAGTAGAAGAAGATGGGGAGGATGATGCGGAAGATGAATACTCAGATGACGATGACATGAGTTGGAAAGTACGTAGAGCAGCTGCAAAATGCTTGGAAGCTGTAGTATCTAGTAGAAGAGAACTACTGCCAGAACTTTATAAAGTTGTATCTCCAGCATTAATTTCTAGATTCAAAGGTAAACATTTTTAAGGAAATAAATTATATATTAAAAGTCAATAAATAGTTTTTCTTTTCAATGAAATTTGAATAATATTCTTTGATGATTATAGAGAGGGAGGAAAATGTAAAGTCAGACATTTTCCATGCTTATGTTGCTTTGTTGAGACAAACAAGACCGGCAACTGGTGTGCCACTTGATCCAGATGCAATGGAAGACGATGACGGTAGTCCTATATCCTTGTTGCAACAACAAGTACCCTTAATAGTCAAAGCTGTACATCGTCAGATGAAAGAAAAAAGCATTAAAACTCGACAAGATTGTTTTTCTTTGCTCAAAGAATTAGTTCTTGTATTACCTGGTGCTTTAACGAATCATATACCTGCATTAATACCGGGCATACAGTATTCTTTAGGAGAAAAAAATTCTTCTTCTAACATGAAGATCGATACATTAGCCTTTGTACATACACTTTTGATAACTCATCAACCAGAAGCATTCCATGCTCACATGACTGTTTTGGCTCCTCCTATTATATCAGCAGTAGGAGATCCCTTTTATAAAATCACTGCGGAAGCACTATTAGTTTTACAACAGCTTGTACAAGTTATTAGGCCTCATGGTAAGTAAAAATTATTTAGATAATTAAAAATTCTTATGAACAAGTAAAACTCTCATAATGATATTTTTCTCTTTCTACCAGGTAAACAATGTTATTACAATTTTACCCCTTTGTCTGCTGACATTTATCACTGTACATTAATGAGGTTACGAACAGCGGACATAGATCAAGAGGTTAAAGAAAGAGCGATCGCTTGTATGGGACAAATTCTTGCACATTTTGGTGATACATTATCCAATGAATTACATGTATGCCTTCCTATATTTTTGGATAGATTACATAATGAAATAACACGCCTCACAACCGTTAAGGCATTAACTTGTATAGCTGCTTCACCTTTAAGAGTTGATTTAAAACCAATTATGGTATGTTTGTTTTATAACTTTTCACATAATTTGTGATAAGTTATTGAAAGTGTACATTTTCTTTTTTTTTTTCTTCTTTTTTTTTTTCTTTTTTTTTTCTTTCTTTCTTTTCTTTCTTTTTTTTTTCCCTTCTTTTCTTTTCTTTTCTCAGGAAGAAGCAATACCAATTCTTGGATCTTTCTTAAGAAAAAATCAGAGAGCCTTAAAGTTATGTTCTTTACCACTTTTGGATACTTTAGTACGCAATTACAGTTCTGCTCTACACTTCGATCTATTAGATACGGTAAATTACATGATTAAATATCAGAAAAATATTCTCTTATTATATTTAATAAAAATTAATCTTCTTTTTGCTTTTTTTTTTTTTTTCTTTCTTTTTTTTTCCAGGTCACAACAGAACTACCTGCTCTGTTAAATGAAACTGACCTGCATATTGCACAGTTAACACTTAATTTACTAACTACAATTGCAAAATTACATCCGGGTTCATTGACAAGAGTATCAGATAATATTCTACCGGAGATATTAGTACTTGTAAAGTCACCACTTCTTCAAGGTAAGCATTATAAACATTTAATTCATTAAATCATCTTCTTATAAAGAATTGACTGTTACCAGGTGTTGCATTAAGTTCTATGCTTGAGTTTTTCCAAGCATTGGTTCAAGCCGATATACCGGGTCTTGGTTATCGTGAATTGCTTTCGATGTTAGTTGCACCGGTTAATCAATCAGTTCTACATAAGCAAGCTTATCATTCATTAGCAAAGTGTGCTGCTGCCTTGACAATTACTTGTCAACAGGAAGCACAAGCTGTAGTTGAACAATTTCTAAAGGATGTTCAAAATCCACAGAGCGATGCACAACACATTTTTGCATTGCTGGTTATTGGAGAGATTGGTAAACATGTGTAAGTCAAAATAAGAAGGAAATGTTTCTTCTTTTTCTTTTCTTTTTTTTTTTTCTCTCTAAAAGAAATATTCGTTTGTTATCTATTTTTTTTTTTTTTTTTTTTTTTTTTGCATATTCTTTATAGAGACTTAAGTGGAATAAATTCATTGAAACACATTATATTGAACTCTTTCTCGTCTCATTCGGAAGAAGTCAAATCGGCAGCTAGCTATACCTTAGGGAACATAGCGGTTGGTAATCTTCCAGAATATTTACCGTTTGTGTTGAAAGAAATAGAGGCACAACCGAAACGTCAATATCTTCTTTTACATTCTTTAAAGGAGGTATGTTAATTGCATTTAAATATAATAAATAATGTCTTCGTCGAATGTTAACGAGTTATTTTCTTTCTCTTTTTTTTTTTTTCTTTTTTTTTTTTCTACAGATCATTGCTTGTCAATCTGCAAGTCCTTCTGGTGTATCGCATTTACAAAATTTCGTACCATCCATATGGATGCTTTTATACAGACATTGTGAATGTACAGAAGAAGGAACTCGTAATGTCGTCGCGGAGTGTCTTGGAAAGCTCACTTTAATCGATCCAGCTAGATTATTACCTACTTTACAAGAATCATTAAAATCACCCTCCGCACTTATGAGAACAACTACAGTCACAGCTGTTAAATTCACTATTTCAGATCAGGTAAAAATGTTATTTGTCATTTTTATCGTTATCGAATTATTAAATATTTCCATATAATTAAGTACGTATTTTTAAAGCCTCAACCAATCGATTCTATGTTGAAACAATGTATGGAAAACTTTTTGGTTGCTTTGGAAGATCCTGATTTAAATGTTCGAAGGGTAGCATTAGTTGCTTTCAATTCAGCAGCACATAACAAGCCTATGTTGATCAGAGATTTATTAGATTCTGTGCTGCCACATCTTTACACCGAAACCAAAATAAAGGTATAACAAAGAACAAAAAAAAAAACAAATATATTTTCAATAAAAATTAACAGATTATATATTATAATTTTTATTATAATTTTTTTTTTTCTCTTTTTTTTCATATACAGAAAGAACTGATCAGAGAAGTAGAAATGGGTCCGTTCAAACATACAGTAGATGATGGTTTGGATTTAAGGAAAGCAGCATTTGAATGCATGTACACATTATTAGACTCTTGTCTTGATCGATTAGATGTCTTTGAATTCTTAAATCATGTTGAAAATGGTCTCAGAGATCATTATGATATAAAGATGTTAACTTATTTAATGACCGCTCGTTTAGCACAGTTATGCCCAACAGCAGTTTTACAGAGTAAGGTTTTTTTACATAATATAATTTAGAAATAATATTGTATAAAAATTGTATTATTTTTTACTTGTAGGGTTGGAACGATTGGTTGAACCATTAAAGAGCACTTGTACTATGAAGGTCAAAGCTAATTCGGTTAAGCAAGAGTATGAAAAACAGGATGAATTAAAACGTTCTGCACTTAGAGCTGTTGCTGCGTTACTTACTATACCAGATGCAGGTATGTATAATTATAAAAAAAATATATATATATATAAATGTGATCTCGTACGATGTCAAAACATGGAGACAATATATGTATGTAATTGTTTAATTTCTTTTCTTCTTCTTTTTTTTTTTTTTTTTTTCTTTTTTTTTTCCAGACAAAAATCCATCATTAAGCGAATTCGTATCACAAATCAAGACGACACCAGAATTACAACCATTATTTGAAATCATTCAGAAAGACTGTACTGGCAATAACGTGAATGAAACTAACGCGATGGATCAGAGCTAAGAAGAGTTTACACCATTAACTTTTATATTTCATAGATCACTTATAGCTAAGCAGATGGGTGATCATACTATTCATAGTTTATTTGTATACGTTATTTTTCCATTATCGTCGCTACAATTTAAAACGATGTAGTTGTGATAAAAAAAAAAAAAAAAAAAAAAAAAAAAAGGAAAAAGATAAAAAAAATACAATGTATGTGATTTCATGCTCTAATGTAATAAGAATTCATGCTTAAAAAAAAAAATGTATGTGAATGCATGTTCTGTATAAACATTGCAATAAATTTTCCGACATGCATTTTTTTTCGACAACATTAATATATATAAATATATATATATATATATATATATATATATATATATATATATATATGTATATATATATATCGTCATGTGTATCTCGATATGATACAAAAAATATATCCAGGAGGCAATTAATAATCTTACTCTCGATTAAAATCTTCTTATTGCTCGACCTACTTTGTGTAAGGCTCTCCAAGGAAAATTTATTATCAGCACAACAAGAAGGTTGTTACAGAGTTATACTTTCGCAAGTGAACAACAACATTGCTGTTTATTTTGAATTCATAATATATGGAGTGATGTTAGAGGAACGAGTTATCAAACGACAAAGAAACATTGAATAATTAAATGAGATAGGATTTTCTAACGAAAATTAATAATTAGATACGATAATGTAAGAGAGAATTTAATTAATTAGCTACTTCTTGATAACTATAAAATCGACTTCGGAATTTTCATTTATATTTAATTTTTTTTTTATTTTGTTTTTTCTTTTGTTAATAATATCATAATCGATACAATTATTTCTAATCGTTTGCCAATTAAGAAAAACTTTCTTAATTATTATGTAAAAGAGATCGTGAAAATAATAGGAATAATAAAAAAAACGCGAATAAATGAAAACGTCGACAACGTATTCATAACTATTTGTCGATTTCTTAACTTGTCATGCAACTTTTTCTATGATTTATGTTTTAAAATTTGTTACGTACCCTGCATACTTGACTTTAGTCACACATCCTATATCTTTTCTAATCTTTTCTATATTCATCATATATATAATACTAAAGATTTGTGGAAAAAAAAAAAAAAATACAGTAATTAAAATTATCATAGAAATTGTTGAATGATTAAATTATAATTAAAAATCGTATGATAAAGAATTTTGGATATTTTCGTGAATCATTGTAAAACAAGTTAGATATTAACTATTAGTATTATTACGAAAGAAATTGTGTGTTGATCTCTCGTAAGAACAAGATTAAGAGAAATAGATGTTCGGCTACATTCCACGAAGCGTCAAGGAATGTAACTTCTTTCATTGTAAAGGATCACGTAGATAGCCTTTACACTTGTAAAACGACCGCTTTTAACTCGAGATACACAGGCATATTTGGTCAGTACATGTATTTGATTATTTATATATATATATATATATATATATATATATATATATATATAAATTGAAATGTATGGTGTTGTATGTATGTACATATGTATGTACGTACATTTATGTGAGTACAGGTCTTGTATATACATGAGGTCTGATATAGAGACCGATGATGCAGTACTCATATATTCATACAATTGTGTGCATATGCTGTTCCAAGAAGAGGATTACGTATTTTCACATAAGTCTCTTTTTTATCTCTTTCTCTCTTTCTCTCTCTCTCTGTGTATCTGTCTTTCTTTATTTCTTTTTTCCTTCTTTATGAAGCATTATTTCTCTCATATAATTTTTTTTCTATCGGAAATTTAATGACAACACAATTTTTTGTTCTACTTATTAATCTAAACGTAATAAGTTTGAGACGATGATTTTCTTTGGGGGGAAGAAAAAAGAAAAAAGAAAAGAAAAAGGAATATTTTTCTAACACGTGGATTTATTAAAATTTCCAATAAATCATTGTACGTACGTATCTGTCATTTTATATGTACATATAAATTAAATCAATAATTTTTTTTTTTTTTAGCGATTAGATCGATTCACGTAGTAGAACCCTGTCGGTAAAGAAATTTAAAATAAAATGTAAATGTGTTTATTAATATTTCTCTTATAAAGGGTTACTTTATTTAAACAAAAAAAAAAACATTATTTTTTTTTCTAACAATTTGATTGATTCACGTGGTCGGAATCCCAATCGTTAAAGAAACTTACAAAAATTATAAGAGGATTCTTCAATCATTTTTTTTAGGGGAACATCCATACATATTCCATTTGTACTTTTTTCTTTTTTTTTCCTATTCCGTAGAACGTGCTTCGCGAGTGAAACAAACGTGTATGGAATATCTTCCCTTTTCTTTATTTTCTTTTTTTTTTTCTTTTTTTACTCTCTTTCGAATGCATTAATAAATCCCCGCTGGCAGAACAGGATCGTATCTTTCGAAGGAGAGAAACCGGTCGGTTAAAAATTCCCGCCAAAACTGGCACCCTAAAAGGAGTCAATTATAAAATAAGAAAATATATAACCTCTAACGTATATGTAATGAGGTTAATCGTAATAGTAGTAGCGATGTGTTGTCTCACGTTGTCTCGGTTAATAAAATAGAATAAAATTAGAAGAGACACTCGAAAAGGTACGTTAACTTCTATTCGTGCTAAATATGTTCGCCGGATATATGTACATACATACATACATACATATATATATATATAGTTATAAATATATACGAAAAATCGTTTGAATTCGTGGTGGAGTATAGAGAATATGCGAATGACCGCGAACGCCAAAACAACACATGTGCATACGTATAAATAACAACATTTTTGGAATGAAAAGAGACAGAGAAAAAAAAAGAAAAAAGAAAATAAAAAAAAAAGTTAAAGGATTTGTCGATCAATCAAATAAATATTGCATTTGAAAGGGATAACGTTGTTGCTTGGATTTGTTTTGATACGATCAAGGTGAATCAAGATTTTGTAAGTAAAAATGTAAGAAAAGAAAAGAAAAGAAAAGAAAAGAAAAGAAAAGAAAAGAAAAAAAGAACAAGGGAATTACCTAAGTCATCCCTCGCGTGTGAAAAGGAAAGAGTAGACTGGGAAGACGGTTGACGGACGGTTCATCGAACGGCGGCTCATCCCTCTCGATTCGTTCGAGGATTCTGATTGGTTCCGCGAGTTGTGCGAGGTGGTGGGGCGAGATAAAAAGTGGAGCGCGAGTGGCAGAGCAGCGCACTCTGCAGCGGTAAACCCGGACGAGAGGAGAGGTTATTCGGTAGAATCGGTATTTCTACGAAAGAACGATAGACAAACATATGCGTGCTTTGAAATATTTTTCGAGAAGTGTCTGTCATCGATCAAACGTTATTAAATACAAAAATTATACGTTAGAAATTTTTCACGTCCTCGTATAATTTCCTCATCCTCGTCGTCCTCGTTGTTGTTGTTGTTGTCGTCGTCGTCGTCGTCGTCGTCTTCGTCGTCGTCGCCGTTGTCGTTGTCGTTTACGAAAGAAGAAAAATAAAGAAAAAGAAGAAAAAAAAAAAATAAAAAAATGTGCGTCCGTACATTGGCCGGTAACGAAACATTCAATCCGATGGAAATACGACAGGAAGAAAATAATACTCAGCGGCAAAATAATAATAAACTTAAAAAGGCCAAAGAAAAATATATGAAGATTCACGATGAGATGATTGCTAGAGAACTTCAAGTTATTCAAGAACGTCGTAGAGTCGATCAATTTTTTTCACCTGATATAACCGACGATATCCTTACTGCTAGTACCATCAAATACAGCGTATTTATTAATGTCCTGTCGAGATATTACGAGACTGTACAGAGAAGTAAAATTTTTAAGTAAGTATTATTGTATATGCACGTTCTTCACGTTATTATTATTATTATTATTATTATTATTATTATTATTATTATTATTATTATTATTATCATGATTTCGTAACCGAGTAACAATGATTGCGATGACGATAATGATCGATATCAATGTTATATTAAAAGAAATCGTTTCTTTTCTTTTTTTTTCTTTTTTTTCATATTTATAAAGTATCATTAATTAACTTTTTACGAAGGATATTATTCTCATGTTACTTTTAATCTTTTAATTTTAATTAAGAAAACAAAATGGCAGTAGACTCACGTTGCCGAAATCATTACTAGAAAGTAAGTTTAATGCTCGCCTGATGGATAGGTCACCTTGCATTCTTGTGGACATAGAAATTCATAGGAGAATTATTAACTATAAATAAAAAAAAAAAAAAAAAAAAAAAAAAAAAAAAAAAAAAAAAAAAAAAAAAAAAAAAAAAAAAAAAAAAAAAAGACTTCGTCTTTTTCGTTCGCCATTCATCATTGTCATTCACATCCACTTTGTAAAATGTATTTATAAAACTTAACAAATTTTCTGTTACATTAGCAGCAGAAAAAAATTTTTCTCATTTTATTATTTGTGGAAAAATTTTTTTTCGATCTATTTTGAATAATAACATTTTCCCGCGCAAAAAAGTAAAATACCAGTCGGTAAATAAATCATAATATTGATGATCGACAATTTACCATTCACATAAATGTATTTATTGATGTATATAATTAATTGCCTTACCTCGATTAATATTATCGGTATGTCCGTGTAATAGTAATTGGACCCGAAGTGTATCTTGAACTTTTGTATAAATGAAGGAAAAAAGGAAAAAAGAAGGGAAAAAAAACGAGAATGTATATTTACATTTCACATAACTCTTGGAATACGAATGAACGGAGGTTAATAATCCTCTTATGAATGAAATACATAACGATAGTATTTATTTTACACTCATTCTTTCTTATGAGTCATTATTTATTTATTTGTTTATTTTCTTTCCCTTTTTCTTTTTTTTTTCTTCTTCTTTACAATTCTCGATAGAATAAAATTATTCGTATTTTATTCTTTATTATTTTTTAATTTTTTTATTATTTTTCTTTTTTTTTTTCTTTTTTTTTTTTTTTCATTTGATTCATTCATTTATTGTCACAATGATTTTGTTTTATTTACAATTTTTGATTGGATATTTTTTTTATTGAAATGATTAGAATTTAATGAATGAGGAAATAAATATGAGACGAGAAATAGAAATAGTAGCAAAGCATTTAGTTCATTCCAAGCAATCTCTCTTCGTGTCCTCCATGTCTCTTCTTCTTCACACTGTAACGTAGTGTATCACTACGCGTTCAGGCGTGAACGTACATGTGTATGTGTGTCTATGGACATAGCTCTCTCACGTATTCAAAGCGTATGCATATATATATATATATATATATATATACATGCTAGACGTTTGATCGATGCTTAAATCAAGATTGCAAGTGTATATATATGTATGGGTGTATGCAATCTAAACGATGGGTTGCGTGTCGTCTTGCACGTTTCCCCGTTGCTCTTGATAACTCGATATATAATATATATATATTCGAATATATATGTATATATATATATAAGTATATATATATATATATGTATGTGGGAATGATATTCGATTCTCATTAGCCCACATTAATTTTTTTTCTTTTTCTTTTTTTTTTTTTTCAAATCGATACGATGCAATAACGTGAGAAACTTTATCTTGGTGATCTAGTGCAAAAAAAAGAAAAGGAGAAAATTTAGAGAGAAGGAAATAAAAGTGCATAATCGAGGATTATGTCTGGAGAACTTCTTTTCTTATTAAAATTTGAATATTAAAGCGAAAGAAAATATGCAAGGTAACTTGTGCATGTCCTCTGCTGCTCTGTAATCTGACCAATGAGAAGATTCGATTTCGTTTCATTTCCGACAAGATTGAGAAGCACTGATCTAAACGAATTGTTTATTTACTTATTCGTTTTTAATCATTGTGTTAATATTTAAATAAAAGGAAAGTTATCTGTATTCGGGAAGATTTTTATATCAATTTTTTCGATTAAAAATTGAATATTAAAGTTTATGTAATATGCGTACTAACCAATAAACAAAAAGGTCTCGATTTGTGATTTGATTCGGAAAGATTAGGAGGCGTCAAATATATTTTCTACATAATATAATATCTTGTATTAATATTTGAAGAAAATGAAATGATATATTCAGGAAGATTTATAATTATTTTTTCGATAAAAATTTGTATATTAAAACTTATATGTATAATGACCAATAAGAATGTTCGATTCGAAAGGATTGAGAATCACTAAATCCGAACGCATTTTCGTCTTAATTTAATATTTTCTATTAATATTTAAATAAAGAAAAAAGAGGATAAATAAAAAGAAATTGCATATATCCAGAAAGATTTATATAAATATTTTAATAAAAATTTAAATATTAAAAAAAAAATATATATATATATATATACGCAACGACCAATAGAAATGAAGAAAGGAAGGAAGAAAGGAAGGAAAAGAACTGAGAATCACTGAATCATAAATGCACATTCTCTACATAATTAATACTTTCTAATTATATTTTCAATTAATATCAAATGATTATTATATCGACATTCTTCAATTGAGTTTTTCTTTGCAATCTTTTAAAATTAAATCCTTAAGCTTGTCTGGTATGTAAAAGTTATTATCTTTTTTCTTTCCTGTCCTTCGTTCACGTTCCGTAAATAACGGATGTAAGGGAATTGGCGATTCTCTATTATATGATTACGACCTACCTACGTAGCTCAGTAAAATACGTAGAATATCTGATGAATGATTTTTAAATTTCGAGCCAAGGTCCACTCTCTTTTTCTCTCTTCTCTCTCTCTTTCTCACACACACACACACATATACACACATGTATATGCACGTTCTCTCTTTCTCTCTCTTTGTTTTCTTACACACTTTATAGGTTATTTACATAGATAGGTGGTATGGATTGTATCTCTTTTCTGTCTCTCTGTTTCTCTCCCTTTCTCTCTCTCTCTTTTCACATTCACTTTTCTCTTACACTTTATAGGTTATACACATATATACACAATGGTGTCTTATCAAATTCGTATTGTTGAACGAGAAACGAGATCAACAAATTGAAACTCGTCAAATAATGATTCGACTCTTTAAGAGATTTTATATTTTTTCTTCTTCCTTTTATCAGAGAAAAAGAATTAAAATCATTCCGATTGTAGAAACCCAGGTTTTTCATCGAAGATCACGTATATCGTCTGTGTGTGCGTATATATATATATGTGTGTGTATTTATATATGTACGTATGTATGTGTGATATGAGAAATATTCCATTAAAGTAAATTATGATTCATGACTTTTTTCTTTAATGTTATTATTTCTTTCGTGACGATTTTTATATCTCTCTATCTCCATCTCTATCACTTCTCCTCTCTTAACACATCAGGAAAAAAATTGCATATTCTTAGCACATTTATGATATGATAAGTAAAAAAGAGAATTTAATCAATAGATGAAATATTTTAACGTCATTGTAAATCATTCGTTCAAATCTTCCCGATATATATGTATGTATGGGGAGGGGAAGGAAGTTGTACATATATACATATATTTATCGTTTATTTATAATATATATTATGTAATATTTACTAAATATAAATGGTATTTGATCAGATTTATTTTAACCTTAAATGAGGTTAATCTAGATTATCGATCAAATAACACTAAAGTAAACTAAATAAAAAAAATTATACATATATATATACATAGAGAAAGAGAGAGAGTGAGAGAGAGAGAGAGAGAGAGAGAGAGAGAGAGAGAAATTTTTATTACTCTATTATGTGTCTAATTTTAATAAATAATTACGAGTTATCTATTTACACTAAAAATTAAGCATACAAAAGAGAAAAAAGATACAATCATTATTGACGTATATATTTCTCAGAGCTTACAGATATTAAAAAAATTATATACATATAGATACATATAAAATATATATATATATACGGACATACACACATTTTAATCATAGTTCAAGGCACTTTCCGAATAATCTGCTTCATATAGAGATATATACATATATATATATATGTATGTATATATTCGAAAAATAAATCTGTTAGATAATATATATATATATATTGCGTCTATTTCCCTTATCGTTACACACACACATGTATGTAGAGTCTATTTCCCTTATCGTTACGTCACACGACAGTCTTGCCCAATTATCGGACATTTAAGCAGGAAATGAAATTCGAGGTTAATCGATTCGATATTTTAATGATAAAAAGAATTTTTCAATAAGATCAAATAAACAACTTTTAAATTTACGATGATTACACAATGGATATTGTTTATAGATATTTCTTTTTCTTTTCTTTCTTTTATTTTTGTATCACGGTTCTTTTTTTTTTTTTTTTTTTTTTTTTTTTTTTTTTTTAAGAGGTTAACAAATTTCTAAAGAAATTTTCCAACCACTTAAAAATTTCTATATTAATAATTTAAAGAAAAAAAATACATAAAATACATATACGTGTGTGTTGGAATATAATAATGGTTAGATAGATAATAAATTACGCAATCATAGAACATTTTTACGCATCATTGGAGAGACATGAATTGGCCTAGTTCCAAGCAAGCAAAATCCGCTAATAAGATCCGTTACGTTTATACACACTTTTATTTGAATGATACACACACATACATATATATAGCAAAAGATACCTATGTATTACGATGGCTGTTACTTGAGCAAAGTTCGCAGAAACGTAGTTAAATATCATTTAGAAGAGAGTAACAAGCTGAAAAAAAAATAATTTCATCACTTTCTTACACGTGCCTTGTAAGCAAAAATAAAATTAAGTTTGTGTATGTGTATATATATATATATATATATATATATATATATATATATATAACATTTTTTCAAGCTGCTATTACAAAAGTTATTTCGAACGTTTCTTTTAAAATACATATATTTTTCGTTTTAAAGTGATAAAGTAAAAGAATTAAAAGTATTATGATCATGAATTCATAATTATTTAAAAAAAAAAAAAAATTAATAAATAAATAAGAAACAATAGAGACAAAAAGATTGTTTAAAATGAAAGAAGAAAAAAAAAAGAAGAGAAGAATATTTTACCTTTGAAGATGAATAATTCGAATGATTATTATTATTTCCCGACAGGTAAAATCGAAGAGATATCGATTCGTTTATTCGTAGTCGTCTCTTTCGATATACCGATTTCTAATATATGATAACAATCGTGGGAAGATGTGGTTATTGCGATAGATATATGGTAAGACATTCGAGATGATAAAACAGATTAACTGTTTTATCATAAATTAATCATGTTAGGTAAAAAGTTTGTGAACGATATGATAAAATGAAAATATTGAGAGATTAGTATTGATTCTTTAATCAAATTCGTGGCGTCTAAAAATTAATATTTGAAAATAAATATCATATATAATACATAACATCTGTACGAAAAGTTTTCAAGAGAAGAGAGTATCGATTTGAAAAAAAAAAGAAACTTCGAGATTTGTATCGATTCTTTTATATCGATTGCGGCGGCAAAATTTGTATTTAAATGAATTTGAAAATGAAAAAAAGAAATGTTTCCTTTTTTTAATGGATAAAAATTTGTAACGATTTATGCATATAAATAATACATCTGTTTTTGCGGTTTCCATTTATTTTTTTTATATTTAAAAATAGTCGTCTCTCCGTCTAATAAGGATAGATGTTTGGTTGACATACTTATTCAGGCCATGCTAAATATTCTCGCCTTTACAATCTGCACAAGCTGTGGTTTGTTATCCTTTCAATGTATACATTCGATGTATATATTCTCCACGTTCTGCCGTAGTATGCTAAAGTTAAAATTAATAGTACTCGAACTATGTTATTATTAAATAAACTCTTACTTAACGCATCGTAAATAAATAAATTAATTGATTGGTTAAATTAAAATAAAATAAAATGAAAATATCAAATATAGAATGATAGAAATAATAAATTTAAGTTAAATTACAAATTGATTATTTTACAATTGATTATATTACAATTGATTATATTACAATTTGATATTTAAATATATATATATATAATAATTATGAAATATTGATATTTTTATAATGAAAATAATAATTGATAATAACAAAAATGATTTATTTTTGTTATTAGAATTCTCTTTTATACGGCTCAACCAGCACACATTATCATGCTAGCAGCCGTTCTCTTTGTGACATCAATCTTAGTACCATCAAGAGACAAGATCTATGTAACTAACTCTTCAAGAATTACATCTTTCATTTATCTCGCTTCTTTTGTCATGCATTTTGGTGCACAAGTTTGGATGACTTTTGTTTCAGGTAATATAAAAATTTATATTTCTTAAGCTTAATATTTTTTATTGATTGATATATCAATCCAATATATTATTTATTTGTTTATAGGTCTTTCCTTATATTTTGCTCTTCCACGACATACCTTTGGTGAGGTACAACGTGTACTCTTCCCACGTTACTTCACCATCAATGCATGCTTAAGTTTAATCACATTACTCATATTCGTAAAACATCATCCGATATATACATGGGATACTGAATTAACTATTCAGGTTTGTATAAAATTATATTATAATTATAATATATTTTAAATTGTATGATAATATTATTTTATATTTACAATAATATATGAATAATATTATAATTAAGAAATATTATTTTAAATAAATTATATATAAATACATATACACATATATATATATATATATATATATATATATATATATATATATATATATATTGATAATATGACAATAAATTTTAGGTCATTGGAATGTCAGGAGCTTTCTTCTTGGAACTATTAATACGTCTGTATCTTACACCACCACTTTTGCAATTGATCATTCAGAAAAATGCTTTAGAACGAGCCGCAGGCGTAGGTAATGAAATTGGCCGACATAATCCTGGTCCTTTGAAGCACTGCCCACATTATCTCAAAATACATAATGCATTTCGACGTGTTCACGTTTCCATTGCGATGGGCAATATGCTTACTATGGCTTGCACGATTCTACATCTTCATTATATTGCAAGCAAATTATGCGTTTTATAAGAAAAGGTTTTACTCTTCTTCTTCTTTTTCTTCTCCTATTTTTTGCATAGTCGATAAAAAAAAAAAAGAAACAAAAAAAAAAAGAAAAAAAATTGTATTCCATGAAATAGTGCTTAATGTTCATCAGCCGGAAGAATATTTTTGATAAGCAACTATATACAAATTTGAATTATTAATTAATTATTCAAGTAATTAATTAATTAATTAATTATTGTTGGGTGCTAAAAAAAAGAAGAAGGTAATTTCTTCCATAGATTTTTTTTTATTATTATTATTATTATTATTATTATTATTATTATTATTATTAATTAGGATTGTTTAAATGAAAGAGATATGATGAAATCTTAACTTGAATTTGGATAGATTTTCTTTTTCAAACAAAAACAAATTTGATTTTTTCTGTCGATAATGAAAGTGCTTGTGAACAGAAGGAAGCCTCGAGGAACTCATTGTACTCTATATCTGAGGATACAATCGTATTTAGTAGAAAAAAAAAGACAGTATATGTATTTAATAAAATTAGTCTTCTCCTGTTAACGTATCATTTATACGTCATCGGCGATAATAGATACTCAAGATAGTAAAGAATATATCTGAAAGAAGAAAAAAAAAAAAGAAAGAAAAGAAACTGAGCTTATTCTAACGTTGCGTAGAATATGAATTCAGTGAATTCAAAGATATTCTAATAAGAAACTTCATGCAACTTCGCTTACTCTTATTTTATCAAATTCTAAAAAAATATTAATCCAAATCTATTTTGAATACACAACTCTGGATATAATTAACGATGTATGAAATGATAGATTAATATTAATTAATTTTAATATATAACAAAATTTTTTAGGCTTAGTTTATAAAAAATGATCTGTTTACAAATTTTCTATTTATAATTTACTAAATTATTCATTTGTTTGAACGAGTGACATGGATGTATGTATTTATGAGTGTATAAAAAAAAAAAAAAAAAAAAAAAAGAAAAGAAAGAAAGAAAAAAAAAGATTTATTAAGATACACCGTAAATAATACATTTAAAATTAATTAAGATAGCAAAAATGTGTGTTCTAAATGCAAATCTTTAATTCTTATCTTGATATTCAAATAAGAAAGTTGTATTAGTTAGGCAATTCACTTGACATTGTCTTGTATAATTCACATATAAATCAATATATTAATATATTGTGAATATATTACAAGGATTATATGCTTTCGAAAGAATATAAAGAATGTATTTATGTAAACAATCCTCAGATAGTTACTTTGAAAATACTAATGCACAGTCATTTGCTCAATTTTTAGACTGTGAAAGGCTTGCTCTGTATCAGAGTTCATATTATTTATTGAAGTAGATGTACAAAATGTAGAATAAATTTGTCGAATGATTATTATTGTTGTTGTTGTTGTTGTTGTTGTTGTTGTTGTTATTATTATTATTATTTGTGACATATTTACGGTCAAAGAAAAGAAAAAAAAACGATAATATTACACAATCATGTTGTATTATTCGTTCATATAATCTGTGAAATACAATGCTGTATATATGATCTAAAATGATAATTATATAAATTAAGGCATTTTTGTACATAAATCAATTGTATCATAATACAATCATTATTCCAAGACTATAATTATAATTAAATGATACAATAATCATTATTATCATCATTTTAATATTATCACTTATACGTGATCACTTCACTTTTTTAAAATATAAAATTTGACTATTTACTTAGAAATTCAATGATATTATTATATAACAAATTTATTAATAAAATTAATGCGTCTATCTGAAAAATTAATCAATAAAATATATTGTCTACGAGAAACTATAATGAATGACTTACATTAATGTTTTTAATTTTAACAATTGATGTTATTAATGAGAGAACACACTATTCAACTGATTACTGAAATTTTATATTGAAATTTGAATTATTGCATATATAAAAAATTTTTTAGTGACAGCCATATATATATATATACTAATATATATATACTAATATACATATATATATATATATATATTAGTTTATCTCCTAGAGTATCAAAATCTTATATCTAAAATTAATACTACGCTTTTATTATAAAATACTTTTAAATAATCACAAACAATTAAAACATTGATGCAAATGTCTTGTGAAGATAATATAATGATGATAGTTAATGATACATTAAAAATATTGTCGATAGTTAAAGTTCTCATAACAGATATCGATACGATATTTAAAAGTAATCGAATAGCTACGGTTCGTCCATGAATTCTTAAATGTTTAAAATACGCTAAATAACTTAATTAATAATATACTATATTATAAACATATTGCGAAGTAATGGCAATTATACTTTATATAACGATATACAAGAATTTTTCTCCTTGGAAGGATGAAAAAAAATTGCTATAGATAAATATTTTTTTCCTCAATTAATATCGATAAATACATTGGACTATATAGACATATATACAATAAATAACAAGATACAGCATTGTACAACTAAATAAACCTTAATTGCACAAGTAAGAAATATTCAATTGATATTTTGACTGGACACATTATTAATAATGTACAGTCAGAGATTTGAAGATTCTTTAGAGAGTTATAACATATAGTAAAAAAAAAAAAAAATAAAAAAAAAATTCTTACACTACATATGTACAATATACTATGTATACAATGTCCGTATTATATAGTTACGTATATATAATGTATGCACATACGTTTATTTATTTTTCTTTTCTTTTTTTTTTTCTTCTTTTTCTTTTTTTACATGTAGCGTATGTCCATACACAGATATACATAATATGTTATTAAAAATCTTAAATAAATGGAAGATTTATCCATCCAGTTCGATAAAATGAAAATTCCAAAATTAAATGATAATTTAAAAATTGAACAAATAGAAAAAAAACAAAAAAAAAAAAAAAAAGGAAAGTGTCGGAAAGTCATACTTTTATACTCTAAGAATTTCTGCCGCTTTGTTGTAACAAATAGCAATCCAATCGGGTTGCGTAGCACCCCATTGGATTTGATTTACTTCTCCTTCCGCTGCTGTATAAGCAAGAATCGGATCTTCTATGGCCCTAGGCATTTGTTGTATATCCCAAATTAATGCTTGATGATCATCCGCCGCAGTACAAATATGACAAGAAGAGTGCGGTGCCCAAGCAATACCATTAACGCTTGCTCTATAAATTGAAAATCAAACAATATACGCAATGTACATTTAGTAAAATACATATATATATTAAATACCTGTGATTATTTAATCTTGCGACTGGCGTGCATGGAACACGAACATCTAAAATGATAACTTCGCATGCGTCCATAGCAATGGTAGCAAGATAATTAGGATCTTGTTTATTCCATGCGAGTCTGAGTAATGGCGTATGTTGTGGATCTTCATAAATAATAGTTGAATGTTCCAAATGTCTTAAGTCAAACATTCTAACGGATCCATCGGCACCAACCGAAGCAAACATATCTCTTCCGCCACCGGCACGACTAAATGCTATATCGTATACTTCTTTATCGTGAGCTATTAATTGTGTTTTTACGTGTCCAGTAACAACGTTTACTCTGCCTAAAACTTGTCCCGTTTCTAATCCCCAAATAGTACAGGTGGTGTCTATGCTCGATGTGCCAATTAAATTTGGATCAACTTCGTTCCAATCGAACGAAGTCAATGGCGCACAAAAGTCTGAATTTTTATTATTATTTAAAACACATTCCAAACGAGTTTCTGGTTCTACCGCTCTCCATACTCTCAAATAATCTCCCGAGGTTGCTAAAAGATCGGGAAATAGTCCTGCAAAAAAAAAGAAAAGGAATCGCTTGTATATAACAAATTAAAAATACAAATAATATATTATACAAATGAAATTGTACCTTTACTATCCGGTATCCACATAATCTTTGTCGTTGGATAAGGATGATCGAATGTACTTTTGGCTATAAATTCAGAAGTTTCTTCGTCCAATGAAACAATTTGTACCTTATTATTATATTCCTCTACGAAACTGCCAAGTGCCAAACGAAAACGTTTGTCCGGTCTTACGGACCAGTTCATACTGTACAAAGACCATGGAGCTTCATATTTATAAATCTCTTTTCTCTTTGGTGGTACACTATGCAAAGCCATTGTATTAATAACAATATTTCAAAACTTTTTATAAGACACTTTCTGAAAAGTATAACAATGACTATGTCCAAAAATTTGATAACTTCCTATTAATATTTACTGCATAATATTCTAATATAATCATCAATTGGTTAATTTATGAAAAACATTATGGCTAAATATGTGTGTCATGTAAGATAAAATTTCCAAATGACAATAAATAATTATAGATTTTATTTATTCGTGATAAACAATTATCCAACTGACACCGTACACAAAACGTATAAACAAATGAACCAACGCTCTCAAATTTGCGGAAACGTTACCGAAGAAAATTATGTTATATAGAAGAGTAATCGAAAATTTTTGCGGAAGAAAAGGATTCTGTTTAAACCTTGCCGTCGATAGATTCGCTAGTGTCGTCCTCAAATACGCTCTCTGATTGGTTACATTTGACATTTAAAACTTTATTCATTTAACCTTACTTTTATAATATTTTACATCAATAATTATTAGTACGAGCATAATGCTTCGATCGATTTTAATAAATAAAATCTCGTCTTAGTTATAAGAATATTATACAACGAATACCCGCTTATATCTTACAGAATCCTGTATCTGTGAAAGTAAATAGGAAGATATTAATAAAAATAATAGTAATAATAAGATTAATAACAGTAGTAGTAATAGTAATAGTAATAACAATTAAGCAAAATATTTTTCATCACTTATTATCGATCCTAAATATAAAAATACAAAAACAAGAATAATGCTCACTGAACTTTGAGTATTCGTTAGAAAATAATAAAAAAATTACATATAGTAGTATAATATTTCATTATTTTAATATTCTTTGAAACAGATCGATATTTGTACTTTTATATCGACAGTCAATGAAGTGTTCATAGTAGCTGGTAAAAAATAACATTTAAAGTGATAAGAGTTTCAGTAAATTCCCGTAAAATAAATACACCGATATTTCATAAATGAGAAAATGTATCTAACTTTATTACAAACTTCTGCGCAAACTCAAAAATTAAGCGGGAAAGCGATCACTATTTTCCAAAGAATTTGCAGACAATTTTTCGTAATTCGTACGAACTAAATACTACGAAAAATTCTTTTTAATATTTTTGATGTATTAATATGAAAAAATCAACAATAATACGCTTATTTAATATGCAGCTATGATTTGGCGGGAAATTGTGATATTCTGATTGGTAGCTGCACTCTGAGCAACAAAGTAATAAACTTCTGACCAATCATGACTTCGGACAGCGTTATTTTTTAACATTGAAGCTAAGATTATATACGAAGGTATCCGGCTGGATTATTCAGTCTTCTACGAATATCATTGAAAAAATTTTCGGATAAAACTACGTAGAAAAAATGCCACTTCAATTATCAACCAAGGAAAATATTCGTAAACGCGTAGAAGATATTACTTTAAAAGAAAAGGTAAATTTATAAGCATTATAATAATATTGACAACATATGTATTTATAAAATAATATCGTATTTCGATTATTTTAACATTGAGATATTTCACATTGAAATATTGAATTTTATTCCAATTATTTGATTTATTTATTTAATCGTCTGTCGTTAACATTTGTCAATCAATATTATTAATAGAAACAAAAAAAATAAAAAAAAAAAAATAAAAATAAAAATAAAAATTTTTATCAGTATAAAATTCAATTCAATTCAATTCAATTCAATTTTGCATTTATTCTGAAAATTTTATTTTCCAACATTTTTCTATTATAAATTTATCATTTTCCTGTCTATATTGCTTTTATATAATTATATATGTATATATAATTATATATATATATATATATATATATATATATATATATCTATATATATATTGTATTATAATATTATCTTCTAATATTTATTGATCACATACAATCAGCACATATATACATTCTAGTATTAATGTATACTATTGAAAAATATCGGTGATTAGATAACTATAAAAAAAATTAATATAAGAACAATCAAGTTCTGTGATTACTAAATACATTACACACTTTACACTTAACTAATATTTACATTACTATATAAACGATTTTATTATTATGTTAAAATCAAGAATTCAAAATGTATTATAAAATGTAAGTTAAAAATTGATAGCATCAAAGTTAATTCATTCAATCAATTTTATATCATCGTATGTATTATATTATAGGTTATGTTTTAATATGATTAGATATTGTGTTCTTATTGAAAATATATAAAATTTATATATATATATATGTATACATACACATATATGTATATGAAATGTTTAATTTGTTATATTTAAGGATTTTGATCAGTACATTGAAAATTATGAAAGATTTTTAACAGCACAATGTTTAAATGTAAAATGTGTAATAATCTATTACTGTCAATTTTGTAATTATTCCAAAATTTCATTAATGATGTCATCTATCATATTTTGCACATTATTATAATATAAGGTTATGTTTAACTAAACATAATTTTTCATGATGTCATTAATAAAGGTATGATGATAAAAATGTAAGTTTAATATTTTTTTTATTAAGTTATCTATGATTATTTGTATATCGATTCATTAGAAATCAAAATTTTCATAATAATATCATTGAACTTTCTCAAGGTTTAATATGTTATTAACATGATTTTAGACATCACCTAAGAAGTTATGTGTCAATTCGCCAGTTTTCCAGGAGAATAGTTTAAAAAATGGAGTTGGAGTAAGGAGATTATCTTTATTAATTTATTTTTATTTTTTATATATACATACAAACATACATACATATTTTTCTGTTTTTTTTTTTTTATATAATATATGTTCAATTTACATATACAATACAATTATTCTTCTTTTAGATTAATCAAGCGAAAGCCGTACAAAAAATTCAGCTGAAAGATAATGAATTTAATTCTGAATTAGAACCATTATTGAAAGAAAACCCACGTAGATTCGTTATATTTCCCATACAATGGCCTGATATTTGGCAAATGTATAAAAAAGCAGAGGCATCGTTCTGGACTGTTGAAGAAGTTGATCTTACTAGAGTATTTATAATTTTAATCCCCCATTTATTTTATTTATATCTTTTTTATTTGTTCAATCAATCAAATCAAACGTATTTAAATTGTTATTCTATAGGACATTGCTGATTGGAAAACTTTAAATACCAATGAAAGGCATTTCATAACTCATGTTTTGGCTTTCTTTGCTGCATCTGATGGAATTGTAAATGAAAATCTCGTAGAACGTTTTAGTCAAGAAGTACAAGTTACAGAGGCACGTTGTTTCTATGGATTTCAAGTAGCTATGGAAAATGTCCATTCAGAAATGTATTCGTTATTAATCGATACATATATTATGGATCCTAAAGAAAGGTAAAAATAAATCAAATATTAGCAACTAATATATTATCATTCCATGCGTGAATTAAGTTGAATATTTTTGTTCACAGAGATTTCTTATTTAATGCTATCGAAACTCTTCCTTGTGTTGCTAAAAAAGCAAACTGGGCATTGAATTGGATCAATCATGAGAGCGCGACATTTCCAGAACGTGTAGTTGCATTTGCTGCAGTTGAGGGAATATTTTTTAGTGGTAGTTTCGCAGCCATTTTCTGGTTAAAAAAGAGAGGCTTAATGCCAGGCCTAACGTTTAGTAATGAACTAATATCTAGAGATGAGGTTTGTATTAACAAATATTTTAATTTATTATATAATGCAATTGTGAAAATATAATTCCTAACGTTATATTTTTCCTCAGGGATTACATTGTGACTTTGCATGCTTAATGTTTAAACATATTGTACAAAAGCCTTCCTGCGAAAGAGTAACCTCCATTATAAAGGATGCAGTAGAAATTGAAAAGGAATTTTTAACAAAGGCACTACCGGTTGAAATGATTGGCATGAATTGTACACTTATGTGTGAATATATAGAATTTGTTGCAGACAGATTACTTGTTGAACTTGGCTGTCAAAAGGTATACAATAATATAATAAAATATTTCTTTATTTTTCTTGTCTGTTTGTTTGCAATATAACAAAAAGAAAAAAAAAATAACCAATTAAATTCTTTTAGATTTATATGTCTAAAAATCCATTTGATTTTATGGAACAAATTTCGTTAGAAGGTAAAACAAATTTCTTTGAGAAGAAGGTCGGAGAATATCAAAAGTTTGGAGTTATGCAAGAAAAGGTTGAATCACATTTTACAGTTAATGCTGACTTTTGATATAATGACATTATAGTACTTCAAAACAAAATGAACTTTAGCAAGATAGAAAACGTGATTTTCGATTCTACCGATACATATATATATATAATATTATAAATAACTTTTCTATATATTTTTTAACAATTGAAGAATATCAACAAATCATTTAAATATCAAATTGACAGTATATGATGACTTATCTATATTTTTTTTTTGTTATTGTCTACTTTATCATTTTATTCTTTGACAAAAATATATTAATCATGAGAATTAACATACAAATATTTTTTGAATGAATATGAAATATTAATCATTAGAACAAAATTTCTTCACGTTTTGTATTAGTTCATTATATTGCTGACAAGTTCATCTTGAGTACAAATTAATGATAAAATATTATTTTTTCTTGTGAAAAAATGATATACCTTGAAATTGTAAAAAAATTAATTTATTTATATTTGAAACTTAAAATATTTATCTTTCGAATGATTGAAATTTTTTTAAAAAGTGCTATCAGTATTTTGTATATATATCTTGTATGTATGTATATATAATCTACAATAAAACAAAAAATAACATGAATTATATTATTAGGAATTATTAATTTTAATATTAAATGTTAAAGGTGTGCATACATATATATATATATATTTTATGAATATTTATTATATGTACATTATTGGAAGACCCATTGATATGAAATTGAATTTATATATAAACAAACATTGTTTACAAATTAAAATTTTTATGTCAGGCTTAATGAAAATATTAAAAAATTTGCATCTTTTTTTTTTTTTGGAATGCACGATTAACTTGCATATCATAGTGTTATGAAACTTTTATTTGGATTTGAAACCGCCTTTTAATTGTTCAAGATACTGTTGACGACAATTCATATTATCAGCTGGTCTGTTATAAGGTGTCCATACAGGTTTTCCTATGAAATATCTTACAGCTTGTATATAATCCTAAACAAGAAATAAATTCATACGTTTCAAATAAGAAAAAGAAAAAAGAAAAATGATGATTACATTATAATTCTATTTTTCATTAAAGTAAAACTAAATTACTCACTTTAGTATCCAAAGTAAATCTATGATATATACCACTGGGAATAATGATCATATCTCCTGGTTTGACTTCAATACGAATCCATTGATCATCTTTATCTCTTACATCAAAATAACCAGATCCATCCAGAACCAAACGTATTTCTTCTTCGGTATGGAGATGTTCAGTAAAGAAATTCTTTAACTGATATTTCAATGATTAGTCAAAAAGATTATACATGAAAGAATAGAAGAGATATGTTAATTCGATTTTACCTTTTCTTCGTAATTATCGAGACATTCTTTGGAGCATGTTATTTTATCTTCATAAGTATATCCACGTTTTCTTTTCAATTCTGTCAATGTTGGATCATTTAAATAATGCTCATGATCCACCTATAGTGTGTGTGTATGTATGTATATATATATATATATATATATATATATATATATAAATATAGCAAAAATACTTAATTATTTATGATATATGAAATAAAAACAAAGAATTAATATTGCAAAGTATTTATCTGTAAAATATATTATATATTACTTAACCTTAAAATATTCTACACCACTAATAGCATACAAATCCGCCATTGACAAAAGATCCGATGTTTCCTTTCGGTGTTCCAATCTTTGGTCAGCATCACTGTCGTCCATGTACCATGCGCGAACCATGTTTTCAGGATAAACGTAAAATCGTTTCGTCGAGTCGAATCTTATACGCGTAAATGACAATATGAATTAAATTCGATAGATTGATATTACATAACCTAACGATTGGCATTATCAATATAATCTACTTTACTAGCATATAATCTACTTACTAACAAATTGACGTAAGTATAAACAAATTTTTATAATATTATAAGAGAATATAATCTATATGAATTTAAAGAGATATGTCTATATAATAACAATTTTAGATATATATTTAATTTAATTTTTGTCATGTTTTAGTTCACATTATAATCATTATCTTAATAAGCCAAATAATATGGATGATCTACAGAAAAAAATTCAAATGTATCTTATGAAAGAGAATCAAGGGAACGGGGAATTAACATTTCTTACAGCTCGTGCAACCATAGAGAATACGATTAAAATTAATAATTTGTGCAAATCTATATCAGAAATTATTCTTTCATTTGATCTTGTATCTGAAGACATCAAATTAATCCTAAATCCAAAATGTGTAAGTGCATTCAACTATTTAATGTTAAATACAAATTTTACAGTACAAAAGCGTTTAGGAGAGGATATGGCACATGGACATTTGGTAGACATGTGTCCAACTTTGTCACCTTATTTGTTTATACAAATTCTATGGAAATTGGAATATGAAGATATTTTGGTCGAATCTATTCTTCATTTACCATTAGATTTGTGTATTGAAATAATTGACATTACCAGAAGAACTGTTGAAGAACTTGAATTTGATCGAGCAATAAACGTCATATTTCAATTAATAATAAATGTTTATAAGAAATTTCTTTTGATTGCAAACAATGGTAGTCAATCGTCGAATATCATACAAAATGTTAAAAGTATGACTGCATATTTTCAAGAATTACTATTATTATTGAACGATGAAAAGATTATTCGTATGGAAAAAGTTTCAGTCTTAAATAAATACAAACGTTATGGATTATTATTAAAACGAATTATTAAAATAGTCAAAGATAGTCAAGAAAATATCGGAAATAATTTTCAAATATCCGAGGACATTGGGAAAATATATAAAATTACATTTGGAAGAGAACCTATAGTGAAATGCGATGATTTAATTATTACCGAGGCTATAACTACGATACGTCAAGATTTAATGAGTTTACTTTTAAAGAAAATCAAAGAGATAGACTGCAACATATATTTAGGATGGGCAGAATTAGATGACACAGAAAATCCAACGATAACATTACAAAAAGCAATTGGAAACGAATGTTATTATTTGGTTGAATTTTTTAAAGCCAATAAGGAATTAGCAGAGAATGAACATTTGATAGAATGCTTGCAACAATTATCCTCCAAACCGATATCTGAAGAGATTAATTCAGTTTTAACTTTGGAAGAATTACGTTATGGCACTGTACAAGGTAAAAAGGAATGTGTTAAAGAATTGATCAGTCGATACAAAGAATGGGATGAAACTATATTGAATAGCATGAAAGAAATATGGAAAAAATCATTATTAGACAAATATGATTGTTTAAATTTACTGGAGTATCTAACGTTCGTACTTATTCAAGCAGATAATGAAGATTATAAACAACGCGTTTATATATTTGTTACGGAAGTATTGATCCATCAAAATTTGCAATCCATTTATTCGATCATAGTAGAATATATAACTAAACACGATGGTAAAAATTGTTTAGAATCTTTATACACGGAAGAAATCTTCAAGGATTTTATCATAAGACATACGAATATGAAGTCTTTAAAAACATTGAAAATAATTCTAATGTTTCTTTTAAAGAGTCCAAAAAAGGTCTTAAGGATTATATTAAGAATAGCCATAGGTTATCCCGAATATGAAAACGTTATGATATCAGCTCAGGATATGTTACTATTATCGCCAATAATGAACATAAGAGAAGACTCGAATGAAACTTTTTTGAGTAGTACATTAAAAACAATATGTTTGGAGAACGTAGAATGGAACGTGAAAAAATTCAAAGATCTATTATTTATCATGGTCGATAACAAGATATTGACGATAGAAGACATAATAAACAATATTCTATTATGTTACTTAAAAGAAAATGTAAGGACATTACGTAACACACATTGCATTCTTAATTGCTCAACGAAAATGTTAAACGATGTATGCGATCAATGGCAATGGCAACATATTATTGATGGATCAATAATAAAAATAAACGCACGAAACTTACTTGTCCCTCTTGCACAAATGATGTCATCGACGAGGAAACGAACGGACGTATCGTATTATTTGATTAACGACGTGATCAAAGAAATAAATTCTATGATCTATCACATTTTGTTATATCATACAAATGATTTCGATTTATCGATAAAAAGGGCGATCATAGAGGAATTAGAATATATTTTAGAGCCAATGGAAAAAGTATATTTTATATTACTTTGGCCACCATTGCGAGATGACTTTTATCTATCGAATAACATTTTTGATTATGAGAGACGTTGTTTCTTTATTTTAAATATGATCAAGGATGATCCAGCGATATCAAATGAATTAAGAACATTCTTTTCGAATTTCTCACTTCTTCATGAAGATTTCTTACGTCATATGATTCTACGTTCAACTAGTTTCGAATATTCTATATTGGCTAAGAAATATATTCAAGAAAGTGTATTCTCATATTCTTCCAGATCGAAAACTTTCAATAACGCCAGTCCTTACAACAATTTCTTACGTCTCACCATAGAAGCCTGTTGTTTAAGCTTGGAATATCCTTCGTTATTACCCAAACATTCCTTTA